TAGCTTCCTCCTCAGGTCAACTGGAGCTAATTCAATACGCACTGTATCAAAAGGGACACAGCACCACCTATCGAGGCGCAGTCAGATGTACTTGGTCAGAAATTAGATTTTCTCTTTTGCATGTATGCTCATACAAGACGAGAAGTCTGACTTGACTGATTAGCTATGAGCTTAGCTTGACTACGTGCATGTTAACGTACTGACTGTCTGGTTCTGTCAGTTGAGTCGTCAGCTGCTTTTCAGATGATGCACAATCAACCAATAGCACATCGACACACCTCTCTGCCAGCATCATCTTACTCATTTTAAATATGGTTCTTTCTCTGCTGTAGTTCTTTCTTGCTGCAGTCATGTGCACCCTCCACCTTCCCATCATGACCTAGTCTTTATGGATTCAGCCATCAGCCTCATATGCCTCTGCAGTCAGCAGCCTCAGAGTCATCATCCACCACCACCACCACCAGTGTCTGGACTCTGGGGGAGATTTATCCTGCTGCCGCTCAGATGTCCCTCGATCACAGAATATCTCCCTCTGGTGTCCAAGCGCCAAAGACTTCTGTCAAATCTTAATCAGTACAAACCATCTGTTAATCTGTACACTCATATTCTGTATTGAATATTATCTTTACTTCATTCTTCTGTCTCTCCTGATTGAAGTGACCTGTGTGTTTTGAGGGTTTGTTCAGATTTACCACACAATAACACAAACAAACTAGCGATCAAGGAAGCGGTAGTGTTTTTGTCAATGGGGTCTGGCTTTGAAGAGAGCATAGATAAGTTTCACCTTTAGCTAAGTTGCTTTACAGCAGGAACATGAATAATACGTTGTTGTTGTTGTTGTTGTTGATATGTAAAATTATATTGAAAGTTGGAGAGAAAGCGTAAAGCAAATTTAAAAAATAACCAACATCATCCTGTTCATTAAAACAGATAATGCCATGGAAAGTCTTTGCGACATCAACCAAAATTATTCAAGGGAAAATTACCTCACTGATACAAAGATGTTGCACATGAGAAAATAGGTATACATACTTGGAGTTTTGTAAAATGCTGAATCTAATAGTTCTGTCAAAAAGAGCACTTGACCCAAAAATGTCATTAGCCAATCTTCCTCAGTAAGATATTTGAAACATACCCATCACTGCCCAAAGGTCAGTTGTGTGGACTGTGTGGCACATGCTGGTAGGATATTTTTAAGGAAGTCTAGCATACCGGTCCCTTGTTTCAAATAAAGGAGGTAAAACAAACTGCACAAGCTCATATTCTGTTTTGACTAAAATTGCGGTGAAGAGATGATGAAAATATCATAACTAACTGCAGCTGGTTTCCCTCTCATATCTTGACATACAGCTGTTGTCTTGTAAGTGGGTCTGTGGGGGAAAGACGAAGAAGAAAGAACACTTCTTCTCATTGTCTCCATGTTCTGGCATCTTCATAGCTCTGGTTTGCATGACAGAGTTTTATAGATGACCTCTCTATGGAAAACAGAAGTGCTACAGAAGTTCCCCCTCTGAGTATATAACCTTCAGTTTATGATCTTTGTATTTCCCGCAGTATCACTACAGGGATTCTCGAGGTCTGTCATTTTTGACAAATAGTATCTGCTCTATAAAAAAAGTTTAACTGTACTAGTTGCACTGTGGTATTCTGTTGATCATTATTGGTTTACAATGGTACTTTGAGTGCTAAATAGAAGACTGTAATGATTATCCAGGGGGCAGCTTTTGATTGAGTCTCTGCAGTAAGCAGGTTTTTGAATCTGTAGAAGCATCTCAAATGTGAAACATGTGGGTTTGGTTAAACACGTGAATCAGCTGACCAACTGCTGTGTCTCAGGAGTTATCTGGCGTCTTTTTTTTCTCCAATGTTGACACAACTTGTTTTTATTTAATGGATGGTAAATTTTCATTTGATTCATGCAGTGAGAGGCATAATAAATAGTCTCTCAGTACCACTATTTCTCTTAAGTGATGTTGATTTCTCTTGTGTCTCTGTGTGCTGTTGTTTAGACAGCTTCAACTCCTACGTAACAGATTTTGTTCCCATCCTTTGGCTTATATTTGGGTGGTTCAGACTCAGTGTGTGTGCGTGTGTGTGTCTGGGGTGGGGTGGACGGCATGTTATTGTTCCAGTGTTTTGATAATAAGTGCTTGTGGCCATAGCTGTCTGTGAATGTGAAGGCTGTTGCTCTGTGTCTCTAACTCTCATCCTGGGAGAGGAGCAGGGAGGTGATGTGCACATTCCAAATGAGTGTGTGTTTGAAGTTTATTCACATATTTGTCATGTTGCAGTTTGGAGTGTGGGTGTAACCTTACCCAAATGTACGAATAAGGACAAAAAGTGAAAGAAATTGTTCCCTCATTTGATTCATAGGGTTACTGGGGTGAGTTTGGCGTTAGGGTTTGTGTAAGAGTTGAAATAATGCACTGATCTTTGGAAATATCCAGCATCCAAAGATCTTAGAAGTTACATGTAAATGAATCATGATAATGTGACAAAATCACCATCACATTCATACTATATAGTGTTTACTACATAGGGTAATTCGGCTTGTCCCAGTAGGCTAAGCCTTTTTGGTTTCTTCTGAAACCTTTTATAGAGGTTCGACCTGGATCCCTTTCAGAGGGTTTGACCAAGAACTCAACACAAAGGGTTATACCTACAACCATCTGTGAAAGGTTTTACCAAGAACCCCCCATGAGAGGTTCTACTGAACCTTTCAGTGGTGTAATGGTTCCACCCAGAACTCTCTCTAGGGGTTAAATCCAGAACCTTTCCACCTTCTAAGGGTGCCAACAAACTCCCACCCAGGAGGTTCTACCAAGAACTCCTTGACATTCCTAATGAAACCCACTAAAACCCACCCAGGGGGGCTCTAAAATAGTAATTGAATACATTACCCATAGATCTCTTTCCCAGTAATCATGGTTTTAGTTTAGCCTGGGGTCAGGGAAACCATATCCAGCTGCCTTTAGCTTCATAAGGGCACAAGTATACTGGCTGCGTGGCCAAACGTACGTGTACATAGTGTACTGCACCTGTGTGTATACTTGCTGCAGCACGGTCGTTCGTCAATGCAGCCAAAACACCTGATACTGGTGGTCTCCGCTAGGGGCAGACCACAGCACTCAGACACAGAGGTCACGAAAAGCGAAGTAGGCGCTGACACTGTATTTCTTGTAGTAGGCTATACACAAACACGGATACTCTCGATGAAGAGGAGATTATAATTTTGTCTTTTAAGATCTCGGCAGAGGAAAAGGCGTCATCTCCGCCACCATTGGAGATGGTATGTGCGGCCCGACCTCACGTTCTCTAGAGGTCTACTTTGCACGAGCGCCTCTAGTGTTCATGTCAATATTGCATCTCGTGCACGCGTCACGTTACCTCGCGTCAAAATGAGCGGCCTACGCACCAAACAACCGCAAAATATGCATGGCAGCCATGATGCGTACATGCACGCGTTGTCTGCAGCAAGTATACTTCTCCTCTGAGTCTCCTAAAGCACCAATGTGTTCCAGCGCAACCAACAACACTCATCGTTCACAATCCAAGATTTTAGCCTTTACTTTATTAATGGTGGGAAACGAAAATTGGTTCCAAATTAGAGCCAAATGCAAAATACCAAGTACCAATGCTGAGTAAGTATTGTATGGCATGAATGGCATATGTATGATGGTAAAGATATCAACTATGGCAGAACCCAAGTAAAATGAAATTAAAATACCATTTGAAACATGACTAAACATTTGAATATTTGAGGCTGATGATGCTATCAACAATCCTTGAAGAACTCTTTCTCCAACAAGGGTTCTGTGGTTGAAAAGGGTTCTTAATGGAGCCCTTAAGGCCAAAATATATCAGTGGTGAATGCCGTGCATCAAAAAACAATTCCCCTTTTATTTTCAATGTACAACCCCACACCAGTGGTGGCTAGATGCATGTCAGCGCTCTTGGACGCACCACTCCGTGGCACTTAACGCCACTGTCCTATTTTCAACCTTGCCGTCCCCAAAATTAAATGCATTTTCTCCCCTACTCACTCTCTGCTTGTACATACCAGCTCCTGTAGCAGCTCTTTTTCCCTGCTCCTATGGCAGTTCGACTCCTTTCCTTACCACTGGCGCAAAGAGAACTGTGATGCTGTTGCTGTGTCTTGTATGTGACAAAGAATGGATGAAGGAAGACACCGTGTTGAGGTCAAGCAATATCCCGGGCTAAACAACCCACGATTAGTTGTTTAAAAGATGATGGCCTGGTGAGTTATAGCTCTGGAGATCGGCTCTTCAGCTGAGAAACCTTAATTAGGGGCTCTCCACACATGATTTTAAGCTAATGCAGAGGTGGAGTAAGTACAGATCTTTCAGGAAAAGTTGTAGTAACTGTGCATGTTGGTCTGTTGACAAGCTGCAGTGCAATGCGTCCAGTGTGTGCTAGGGGTGGCTCTTCATGCGCATCACATGACACGCCGTGTCGGTGTGTTTTCAGCTTTAGTCTTATAAAGAACACTTGCTGAACCATTTCTTCAAAAAAGGGTTCCTCAGAAGCAAATGGTTCTGGGTAGAACCTTAGCCCTCCAGGAAGAACCCCTTTGTAACCCTTATTTCTAAGAGTGCAGGAAGTAAAATTTGCATAAAATGTTATACCAAAATTAAACTGAACAAGGACCAGCTTTCCCTGCTTTCATGGAGGAGAAGATGATAGATGAGAGTGGACTTTGTGCAGCCACAACTACATAGCAGATGAACAAATGACTATTCCCCTGGAAGTTGAAATGTTGCTCTTCACACTTTGGATAACAGTAATGGTGTGATACCACTGCACAGAGTGCGTGGTGAAGCGTTGAAGCATGGAGCAATGGAATGAATGCAGAAAATTAGAGGTCATGTGTTTCTCTTTCATGTGCATGCACAGTAGGGTGTCTTAATCATGCTTTTCAGAGTATTCTCATTTAAGTACAATGTCTTGACTCTCACTGTGTCTCTCTGTGTGTATTTCAGAGCAGTCTCCAGTGTACGCCATGGGGTATAAAGGCATCTTTAGAACAGCAGGTGGCAGAGCTGAAGGTGAACACTGAGGTCCAATCAACAGATCCCCCTACTGATCTAGAGGACAGCCAACTTACTGCAGGTAAAATAATCAACTCTGCTTCTCCCAAACAGGCACTGCAAAGCGCATGCAATTTTTACATGGACGCTATGCCAGCTTCTTTTAGAACATAAAGGTTTCACTACTTTGTAAATGTTTTATATCTCGACTGTGTGCCTAGCTTAGTCTTTTTTCTCTGGGTGCAGAGTACAGATTCTGAACAAATCTCCTCCAGCGCCTCGATGGATTAAACACTCATTATTATTTTGTCGAACACTGACTCAATTTAAAAGTCTGGATGAGCTCCATGCTGCATGAAGGGAGCAATAGCTATTGTGTGCTTTATTTGCACCCAAACATGCACCCTGTGACACACAGTCATTATCAAGAGCAATGATTCTTTCTCCCCGCTGTAGACACTGAGGTCATTAAGGACGCAGTTTAGTGTCTGGCAAACACACATCAAGCAGACAAGTCTATTACAAGTCTTCGGTCACTAAGCATCCTCCATCACTGGAGTCTCACCACATCTAAGCCCCATACTTCATGTTTATAAAGCAGCTGAGACACAAATCTGAGCACGTTGGGATTTCAAATGACAAACAGTGCTGTCTGTTGCACCACAGAGGCCGTAATCTCATGGTGCTGGTTATACACGACCATAATTAAACTATACTTGCGTCTGGTAAGCCCACAAATGGCTTGAAATGTGTGTTTGAATTTGGTGAAAGAAAATAAATGGCTTCTGTGTAGCGAGTAGTGTGGGGGAATTATGTCAGGGACATAACATCCGGTTTCATGAATGTTATGTCAAGGACATAACATTCATGAAACTGGAGATTTTTTTCAACTTTTGTGTAGAATCCTGTAGAGACTGCAGTTGCATGTTTTTCTATGTTAATCACAGATATACAGTATCTAAATGCTGACACCAAAACCATTTTTATGTGTGAGCAATTATGGATAGTAATATACACAGCATAATTAAAATGTGAGTAAGAACAGAGGCTGTCATATCCATGTGAGGCAAATTGAGGTTTGTGATGTTGGGCTATAAAAATAAAATTAAATTGAACTTAATCATGTCAATAAACACAATATGTTAAGGTTCCATTTTACTGTAAGTGTAATACAAGAAATTAAAAATACACTTCTATCATATTTGTCCCTGGTGTGTTGTTATATCTGCCTATGTATGCAGAGTCGACGATAGTGTGACAACATTTGGTATAGGAAGCATTCTGGTTTCCATTTATAGTCCATCCGAGTCTGAGGAGTATTGACCAATCATGTTTGAGCAGCAGGTAAACAGTCTGCGTGGCTGAAATGCAATCTTGGTACCCAATGGCTATCATCTGATGACAAATTAGCTTTTTGTTAGCTTTTTTTTTTTTTAAACCTGCATTCATATGTGGATATCTGTTTATATATGTTAGCCAAAATGACCAGAGCACAGAAGAGAAAGTCCTGACCCAGATATTCGCTGGCTACACTGGATCTCCTGAAATATTAGCATTTGCCCCCAGAAGCTTCTCAATTCCAAGATTGGGTTGTGAAATTTCAAGGTTGACTTGCTTCTCCCTCCATAATTTTATTTTAAAATAGCAGCTTCATTTTAAAATAACTTTGAGATTGTGTTTTTATGTATTTCTATTTTATATTTTTTACTGACAGCATGATTTTACTTTTGCAATCCTTCATGGAGGTCTACCCTACTTACTATCACGTTTACCACAAATTCTTGGTATGTAGTCACCTAACTGTTTACATTTTGGAAATTCAGGACTTATATAGCATTTCAAAATATCCCCATACAGTGGTTTGTTTGATATCTTTCGAAAAGTTATGCACAGGGTTTGTAAGATAACTTACAAATTAACGCCCCTACTAAGAAAAGAATTATGGTTTGGCGTTGACTCGTTACTTACTTAATGTAAAGTATTCGACTTTAACGTAACGTGACAGTGTACTTTAAAATAACTCAAAGTTCATGTGATTGGGGACACAAAGGGAAAAGTTTTATGTTTTTTGGAGCGATTCATTACTCCAACCAACCACGTGGACTTTCACTCTTCACTCTCTTCTTTACTCCCATCAGTGGTAAAGAAGAAAGGTCACTTGATCGCAGCATCCACGATTAAGAGGGTCATGTACGAATTGTGATGCATTACTTTTTGGAGGTATACATAACACTGCATGAGAACAGCTAGTGTAGGTATGCCACTTTGAATAACTCAACACAGACTTTTGGTTTCACATGGGACATGAACCCCAGTCTCCTATTTCAAAGTGCTGTGTTTGTTTGACCCGTCCACCACCCCAATCTTGCTCTCTAAGTGGACTTTGTCGCTCTTTATACCTTGTAACCTGACTTCCCCTTCACTACTTTGATGGCGAACAGTCTACCGCATATTAGTCATGAGATCTATGCCTCATGGCTCACGATTAAATGGGTTATATGAATTTCAATGCATTCGTTTTCATAGGTGTAGGCACAAACATTGAGTGAAAACAGTCTGAGCAATGACATAGCTCTTTTGGAAGATGGAAAACACTCCCCTGACTCAGATTTTCACATTATTAGAATCAGCGTTAGTGTGTTTTTCAAGGATGTTGGTCTTTTAGCTGTGCAGAGCACATACTTCTTTGCTTGTTAATGGGATTCAGTATTTGTCAGTACAAACACCTTTCTCATTAATCTACAGATACATGACTGTCCTGTTCATGCACCCACACCATGCTGGATAATATACAGTGCAATGAGCAGTGTCACATTAATGTACAGTCTTTGTCTTCTATTTGGTATGGTGAAGATTTGTAGGCTCAGGATGTGTTTTGTACATCAAAAGGAGAACAATTATGGTAATAGCAAGTGGTAACAGTAAGAATGATTCTGAACATTCTCTTTGTCTTTGCTCTGTTTGTCAGGAGAGGTCCTTGCAGCCAAGAAAACTGGATCTCCTGAAACAAGTTACCACCCTTTGGTCCCTCGTTCCCTCTCAGCACCTGAGGGAACAGTGGAGACAGAGACAGGAGAAACATGGCTGTCAGACCCAACAAGATGGACCATGGTTACTGATGCTTTGGGAGAGATGAGGGATGTTGACCCCAGCCAGGAGGATCATCAACAAGCCCAAAAGGCAGAGACTTATATATTTGGATTGGTCCAACGTCGAGCTCTACCCACACGTCCCTCAAAGCCCCGCACCAGCCTGGCACATGATGCTCGAGCTGTTAGTGTGATGAGGCAGAGTAGTGTATGCCGCAAGGAGGAGCAACATTCACCAAAGCAGGTGTCTGTTCAAGAGATTTCAATGCTGCCCCAGTGTTCAGAGGGAACTGTTCCACAAGCTTGCCATAACCTTGATCAGGAGCCTTACCTAGGGACAGGGTTTACTGAAGATGTCCCACCGCCCTACCACCACAATCTCCAGCAAAGTACCCAGCATCAATCAGGGCTTTATCACAGACCCAGGCAGGCCCCCATGATTAACACCTCCCGTTCAGCCATGATGGACTATCCATCTTGCAGAGTGCTGCAAGCCCACCCAGACTCCAGCAATAGTGAGCCTGATTCACCCCAACATTTTCACAACTATCCATCCCCTCCAGCTCTGTCAAAGCCTCACCAACAGTTGCCACCTGATGAGCAGCTGGTCAACGCAGAGTATATTCCAGCTCAGCCTTGCCGAGCCTCCACCAGAGCTTATGCCCATCACCACTCCAACCCCAACAAGGGCTCTGGGGTGCCCAAACCCAACCGAAGCACATATTCTCCAGAAAGAGGCCATCATCATCAGGAGCAGCAGCCCGCAGCATCTCAGATCCAACCCTCCAGATCCCGAGGAGGCCCAAAGAAATGTCGCTCAAACGAAGACCGAAATGGTGCCAGCAGGAAGCCAGGGAAGAAGGCATGTAGGTCTCAGTCAGAGAACAGTCTGCAAAGGGCTCCAGAACGCAAGTACAATACAGTAGAGAGGGATGGTGGAGGAAGTGGAAGCGGTGGAAGGGGAAGCCGCAGTAGTCAATCCAAGAGCAAGAAACAACAGCAAGGAGGTAGTAGCTGTCGCCGCTGGCAGTCCACCCTGGAGCTCAGCCAAGACGAAGCTGACCAGCCAACTGTGCAGGCACCCATGCAAGGCTCTTCAGCCTCAAACCAAAGGGACCATTGTGCAAGGCGCACACGCAAATCTCGCCCTACACATGCATCATATGCCTACCCACACCATCACCACTCCCACCATCATCAGCACATGGAGTACCATTTAGAGAGGGACCAAGTGCCAATGTGTCAACCAAGTGAGGACTACCCTCACCCACGTCAGGGTGAGTCTGAGTCCAGCATGAGTGAGGCCGATTCTCCAGATTCCAGCTCCTTGTCCAGTGATTCAGATGAGAGTGGTGGTCTGGTTTGGCCCCAACAACTACCCCCTCAACTTTCCCTCCCATCGCCTCCTGCCCCACCTGGGGCACCTCTGCAGCCTAAGGCTTTTGTCAAGATAAAGGCCTCACATGCCCTTAAGAAGAAGATCTTGCGCTTCCGCACTGGTTCGCTGAAAGTCATGACCACTGTATAAGGTGGAATACTGGCCAAACTGAAAGAACATGAGCTGCAGAGCTTTAGACTAACTACAACGACGGACCACAAATTACAGTGGATATAAAATTCAATGTGTACATGGAAGTTCTATGAACTTGACTGACTGAATTAATCAAGTGGTTTTAGATCAGCCTTAACAAGCAATGAAGGAAATAGTCATCACCATATCAGCCTTTTTGTTTCAAAAATAGGATGTATAATTATATATTAAGTGTTACATTTTACTAAAAGTGCTCATGTGGATGACTCATGTTTTGTCAAAAGGTACCATATTTGGCCACATTGGCTCTTAAATATCCCCACCCATCAACATGCACACACCCACTGATAAAGTATATCATAGTCCATACTGGCATTGTCTTTGAGGTCACAATGAACCATATTTCAAGATTTTAATTTCCGATCAGGCACAGATTAATCCCCAGTATATCCACCATTGTGAAGGACATTGGACCTCATGTTAGAATATTTTCATATTCTATCCTAAACTCTTCATACCTTGTGTGTGTGGCTTGTTGATACCAGTGTTACTGTACAAGTCAGATTCACCAAACTGTCCTAACCACACAAAATTTGTTTCAATCTGACAAATTCACGAGTAGCTGCGCATTTGTGAGACTTTAGCAACCAACACTTTGCAATGTACAGGTACCTGTTCTTTAAAAAAAAGATGTGTTTTGGTTGCTAAGTTGTCAGCCTCCATTTAAAAGAAGGAACCTTTGTCTCCAAATTTTCTATGTTGTTTTCTGAAGCAAATTCCTCAACAAACACTTCCCACACATCCCTGTACAACAGAAAGAGTTTGTATGATATCCTTAGAATTAGTGCCCCAAGAATGACATTAAATACTTAACATAAAGTTACGTACTTAATGTAAAGTTGCGGAGGTTAGGTTTAGGAAAAGGAACATGGGGACAACTTACTTTAAAATGACTCAGAGTTCACTCAAAGTTCACAGAGTTCTGAAAACCAGTCTCCTGGGGAAATTCCTGTGGGAAAGTCCTGTGTTTTGTGACCAATCTACCACCCCAATCTGCACATTACTTCCTTAAGCGCATTTGTCATGTGATCACAGCCTTCCCATATCCATGGGTTATACACAAATGGCTAGCTAATGATTACATAGGATATGTACAAATTTTGGTGCATTACTTACATGTATGGTAGGAAAATGAATGAACAGTGCATGAGAACAGCCTGAACTGCTATGCGTGTGCACATTGGAAACTTACTGTTGAAAATAAAATATAGTGGCCTACAAGATAGGCCACAGTTTCCTCATATTTGGACAGTGAAATCCTCTTATGTTGCTGAAATGATGCATATCTGTTATTATTGAATTGTTAAGTCATACTGTAATTAAATAGGAGGATAACTCAAGACAAACAACTTAAAGTAATGGCTTCCTGCATGTTTTTCTTCATAAACGCACAGCTTTTAAATATATCGTGGGTGGAAGTAAATTTATATGTCAGACATGGGGAAATGTGGCCACAGAACATAAAAAAGTAGTTGTGAAGGAGTGGATTGTTAGTACATTACAAAGAGCTTGTGAGACATTTTGTCTGGAATTTGTGGTTGAGATAGTAAATTTCATTGTAGAAAGAACCAACTTTTGGCCAAAAAGAAGTCTGTAAATCTTTTACTGTAGCAGCAGACACAAACCAGCAAGATACCGCAGTAGCAAGATTTAAATTGTGTTTGAAAAGTGTTGGAAACATCAAGTGTCTCACTTACAAAGTATTCTCGAAAGACCTTGTTTAAAATGTAAAGTAGCAAATGACAGTTTGTACTGTTTTAATGTTAATAGTAGGCTACCTGCAAACTAATAAAAATGTGCCTGCCCAAAGAATGTAACGTTACAATGTCACTTTGAGCATTTGACAGTATTACCATGTAAAGTGCACTAGCCGACTAACTATTAGCTTCTTTTTGTATGAAATTTGTTTGAAAACTGTACTATATAGATTAAAGTGTTTAAAAATTACCAAAACAATACATTTGTGTGTGGATTTTTATTGTTTTAGTTCTAGGAAAACATTGCTACACCAACCAGTAGTTTCATTAATAGAGGTTTTTGTTCAGTGCATCAAGCAAGGTGTTACCAATGGTAAGCCCATAAACATATTACGAAGGCCAAAAGAAATACCACTCATGTACCCACACACACACATACCAGTCAGCAGCCCTGGTGTTAGTGATCTTGTTTAGTGGCATGTTGAGTGATTGAAATGTATGGGAGTGAGGGAGTGGGGGAAGTGACAGAGAGGAGGGATTAAAGTGGAAAGTTAAGAGCTCAACGGGAGGATTGGATTGTTTAAGAGTAATGCTGCCAATATTCCTCTCTTAACTATTAACAGTAGAAGAAGACTGGACGGAGCTGTAGTGAAAGACTTCATTGTGATTTACTGCTTTTGCAGGGTTCATGCTGTTTTTGCAAAAATACTGATGCAACTTCTACTGGATTGTTTCTATACTGCTTCTACCATTTTACCATTCTACCATTTTAGCACTACTATTGCTGCCACCACTACTACTACTACTACTGTTCTAATACTGCCCTACCCTAACCCTAACCCTATACTGCACACTTATCACAACATAAATGTTTGTTCTTATTTACTAATACCAAATAACAATTGACAACCAATTGTTACTCATGAAATATTTATTGACAAAATGATTCAAGAATTCATTTAAAACTTTTTAAAATTACATCAAAGCACCAATGATACATCCATTTAAATGGGAAATAATGTAAGATAATGTGATATGTTACACACTTAAACTTCCCTTGTGCAAACAATGAAAAGTAGATTCAATGTGTTTTTTTTTTTTAAATTAAATTAGATAACATTATTTAAAGTAGTGTTTCCCCTTCATTAGGAAATGAGTGTGCACAACATACTGATACAGTCAATAAAAAATGCATTCATAACTTTTTGTGTAGGCTGAATATCGCAATATTAATGTGTGGTTATGACAAAATCTCACGGCACACCTGGACTTGCATCATGGCACACTATTACTAAACATTTGGTAGTGCTAAAAGTCTATTACTACAACTACAAAATGCTTTACTACTAGCTACTAGTTTTTATTATTACTACTGCTGATAAAACTATCACTTATATCACTATTTCTATACATTTGGTAGTGCTACTATTGTTGTGACTACTGAAGCTATTATTACTTCCTCTACAACTACAGCTACTACTAGATTATTTTACTTCTGCTACTACCTTTAGTACTGTAATTAAAACAACTGATAAAATTGTTGTTTCTGCCACTATTTCATTGCCACATTTGGCAGTGCTACTATTGCTGCTGCTGCTGCTGCTACTGCTGCTACTACTAACTTTTTTACTACTGCTACTACCTTACCTAGTATTACTACTCCTGATAAAACTTTACTCTCTACCACTATGTCTATACACTTGGTAGTACTACTATTGCTGCTACTTCTACTACTACTACAACTGCAACTACTACTAGATTGTTTTACTACTGCTTCTAACTTTCTTGTTATTACTATTGATAAAACTGCCATTCCTAACACTATTTCTACACATTTGGTAGCACCACTATTGCTACGACTACAACAACTCCTACAACTGCAACTACTTACAGGTTGCTTTTGTAATTACAACTACTGATAAAATTGTTGTTTCTGACACTATTTTTATACATTTAGTATGCTACTACTACTTTTACTACTACAGCGGCAACTACTACTACTACTACATTGTTTTACAACTGCTACTACGTTTTAGTATTACTACTCCTGTTAGAACTTTACTTTCTATCACTATTTCTACTCATTTGGTAGTACGACTATTGCTGCTACTTCTACTATTACTACTAGATTGTTTTGCTTACTGCTATGTTTTATTATTACTACTACTACAGATAAAACTGTCTTTTCTACCACTATTTCTATACATTCAGTGCTACTATTCCAACTACTACTACTACTACAACCACTACTATTACTACTATTACTGCAACGACTACTAGATTTTTTCATTCATTCATTTCTACCACTATTTCTATACATTTGGTAGAACCACTATTGCTCCTACTTCTACTACTACAACTGCAACTATTACTAGATTGTTTTTTGTTACTACCACTGAGAAAACTGCCATTTCTAATACCATTTCTATACATTTGGTAGTGCTTCTTTTGCTATTACAACTACTTCAAGGATGTTTTTACAACTACTGCAACTCCATCACTACTATATACTGATAATGGTACTACTGATAATACTTGTACTACTGTACCATGTATAGTTTAACTGCTAATGCTACTATAACTATTGGTACTACTACTAGAACTACTACTGCTACTTCCTCTATTATCGCACTACTACTAGCACTAGTAGTACTAGTAATCCTGCCACTATTACCAGTGAACAACTTTTACAAGTATAACCACCTGATTACTTCTTCTAGTTAATTAGAAGGCTACCAGTTTAGTACTACTACTACTATACTATATAAACCTTTTTCTGTCTGTAAAAGTAATTGAGCACGTATAGTGTGTGTGTGTGTGTGTGTGTGTGTGTGTGTGTGTGTGTGCTCCAGAGAGAAGGAGAGCAAGGGGATTTCAATGGGCTGGGCTGTTTTATGACATTAGGATTCAGTTCCAGCTGCCTCAGTTCATTATAGTGGAAAAAAGAGGGCTAGAGAGAAAGGAGAGAAATAGAGGAAAGGAAAAAAGAGTTGAAGCAGCTCATGTAAGCTCTGGTCAGAAGGGAAAGACCAAAACCTCTCACTTCTGCAACATTTAAAGCTCTTTATCTTCTCACAATCTATCACAGCATTACCGACATTTTCCCAGCCGAAGTCCTTTCACTCTCATATCCATCCCTTCCCTCTTCATCCCTCCATCTGTTAGTGGTTAGAAGAAACATGCTCCCTTCAGGGCCAGGAACCTGTAGTATTTCCTGCTTTGCCAGAGACCGAGGGGGAGAGAAGCAAGAGAGGAGGAGGAGGAGGGAAGAACAGAGAGGCACTGAGCCTGAGGAGGAAACCCACACAGAGAAAAAGAAACAGAGAGACGGTGAGAGAGGGAGGAAAGGGGGGGAAAGGGGGGGAGGTTGAATGAAGGCCTCGTGCGCATACATCTGGCTTCGATTAGCCAGACAGAGAGGGTGATGGTGAGAGAGAGGAGACAGAGGGGCTTTTATTTTTGGCACTTTTGGGGATACAAAGTGATTGACCTATTTTTTCTCCTCCATCCTCTTTGATTTTTCCTTACTTCTACCCACTTCATTCACATTTAAGATATCTGGAACCAACTTTTTTTTAAGTTTGCCATCTCTGAAGGAAAAGAAGCACAAAGATAGTTTAAGGTGCGGCCTATTTAATTCTGCTCCACTCACCTCTGTTTGCACACACAGTCTGTCGGTGCCATATGTCCCTTTACTGATGCCATATTTTTACCCAGGGTTGATTATCAAACCTCAAACATTATCAGCCTGAAATCAGAACTTCATTACACCATGTCTTTGCCTTTTTTTAGCCCCTACAATAAGTAAGGACAAGAGTTTATCAAAACAACAGTGGGCTATTAAAATCAGGTTTCCTCTTACACTGTTTTTCAGAGATCTCAAATCACTGTTTTGTTTATGCTAGTGCAATGAAACTACTACAGCAACAAGCAAGCCAACATCCCATTTGTTACCTAGCAACAGAAGGGGAATAAACTGATTTAGTTTAGGAACGATATAGCTGCCATCACCCAGTTAAGTGGAGAATGCATGACAGTTTCCACACAGTGATCATCAAACTGGATTCACTTGATGTGTGAATGTCTCAGCGTGTCTGCTGGGATACATTAGTGATAGTGAAGAGGAACCGCAGCTACTAAACTTGATATTTTTCTTAAAGGGACAGCTCACCCCAAAATCAAAACTTCCCTCTTACCTATAGTGCTATTTATCAGTCTAGATTGTTTTGGTGTGTGCTGCAGAGTGTTGGAGATATCAGCTGTAGAGATGTCTGCCATCTCGCCAATATAATGGGACTATATGGCACTCAGCTTGTGGTGCTCAAAGCGCCAAAACAATACATTTGATAAACTCAACAGCAATGTCCCTCTCCAGAAATTATGATCTGGTTGTTCAACATAATCCACAGAACTCTGATGTAGGAAATATTTTCCCTCTACTGAACTACACCCAACAAAGAAGGATGTGTGCATCTACAAGAGGCTTATGCCAGTGACAGCACAAGATGTAAACATTAACGGTGTCCACCTCGGCTGAGCTGTAATCCCAGTTCAGACCAAATATGTGTGATGAGACGAGGTGAAACAGGCAACTACTTGCAATGCACTGTTCTGCAACATTCTAAAAAACACCAATGTCGGTTCACACCAATGCAACTAGATGAGAGTGTATCATCTCTATGCAACAACTATCTGTACTTCCATTCTGATTTCCAGCTTTTCAGACTTATTTTGTGGCTGAATATAATTTGTAGCTTCTTAAAATATGAATGAGGATAGTGATAGTGAGATACTGGCTACAGTTGCATTTCTAGTAGTGATGAAATGGCGAAAAAGAAACACAAGCAGCAGCAGGGACACACCGCCTGACAAGAGCACACCATGAGGACAGACACAGAGTGCTTGGAAGGGTATGAGTAAATGCCACAGCAAGCGAACACATCGTCTTGATTTGACTTCACCACAACCTGACTGGCTGTTGAAACAGGTGACTTGCTTTATATTCTAAAACCAGCCGCCAGCGATTTGACCAGCAGAGTTGCAGGTGACACCATCACCCAGCTTGAGTCGGGCTCAGATGGCCACTTCACGCTGCTGCAACTTTTCTCTGCAATGTTCTAAAATAGTTTTGTCTCGTCATAAATCTTTGGTCTGAACTGGGCTTTACAGGTTTGTTCAGTAGAAAGAAAATAGTTCCCACATAACACTGCTCAAAACAAGGTCTGTGGATTGTCTTGAGTAACCGGGTCATGATTTCTG